CAACCCACCTCTCCCGGTTTCCTTAAAAAACAAAAAAAAAAAAAAAAAAAAAACTGAACAAAAATTGATGTTTCAATTATTTTTTTTTTTATCTTTTTTGTTCTTTCTATTTAAGAAATTTGTAAATTTGTGATGAATCCTCTTCCATCCACCTCCTTCCTCCCCTTAGTTTTTTTCCTCTTTTCAGAGTATTGGGTATTTGTGAGAGTAGAGGCTACCGGAAACGGTGCCGTATTGGTGGGAGTGTGGTCTGATGCTAAACAGAGAAAGGAAAATGGAAGCAAGTTACCTTTTGTAATATCTGCTTCTCTCTTTTGTCTATTCTTCTTCTTCACTCACTCTCTCCTCTGTTTGAGTAATCTGTTTACTTTTTGAGCATGGAAGGTATGGTGCCAATGCCCGTTGGATTATTTGAAAATTTGAACGCTGGATATATTATCGTTAGTATGTAATTCATTCGTCCATTTGTATATTTAAAATAATTATCATTAAGTAGGAATTATTTAATTTTTTGGTTACATATATAAAAAAATAAGTCAGTTCAACCTTCATTCGTCGGATTCCGTACAAAATTTAACGTCATCTAACACGGTGGAGCTATATGGAATTTTTCAAAAAGTTTAAATTTATAATTTTAAAATTTGTTTATTAATCTGAAGTTTGTATACAAATCTATGTATTTTAATGTGGTTTTCCAATTTCCCTTGCTCCTTTTTTTGTGGAACACAAATGTGAAGTTTCGAACGGAGTTGGATACCTAGGCAACGCGTATACGTATAGTATACACTCATGACCGTACCTTTGTGTAGAGAGAAAATTGACCGGTCGGAATCATACATCCTCAGCCACACCATCATCCTCTTCGGACTCTGTCTTTGCGCCTTTCATAAAAGTACCTTAACGACGACCCTCATAGTCGGAATATCAGGCCTCGCCGGAAAAATGGTCCCACACCGATGTTATCATATCTGGAATGTATTGATCGTAACTGCCTTCTTTCCTTACAAAATCTCCGATTTCCGCAATCCAATACCTACTGTGTAACTTGACAGAATCATCTCATTAATGGACGGCAGAGATCAACTGCAATGTTATCTAACGGTTGATATTACATTAATATTTCAACAGTTAATGTCTGTTTGAATCCGATCAACTCGTTAATAAACTTAAAATAGCATCAGTATAGAACCTTCGACTTCAGAATCAGAATCTCTGCAGTTTCAGTAATTTAAAATCTTCCGATTGAGAATCTGTTTCTACATTATCTGATAGACAATTTTATATTGATACTGTATTAGTTGCACATTCAACTGAATCTAAATATTATTCTTAGAATTGACCAAAATTGTTCACAACAAAACATTGTTTCCGGACAAAACCCGGTTTTTATGTATTCATCATCTCTCGATAACTCGCCGGCTGTTTCTGAATTCTCCATAGTCTCTATCTTTGTCATTGTCCTGTCGATGCCGGTTTCCGAAACCTCCTCCTCTTCCTCCTCTGTTAGATCCTCCGAAACTTCCTGCATTGCTCCCTCGGCTACGATTTCTATCGAAGCCATTATTGAAATCACCCTGTTTGTTTCTCGTTCCCCTGAACCCACGATTATCTGCTCTGTTTCCTCGTGATCCTCTATAACTTCGGTCATCCGCGTCAAAATCCGAGTCACTAGCTGAAAAGGAGTTGCTTTTACTCTTATAAGCTCCTCTTCCGCCGTTGTTTCGATCGAAATCATTGTTGAAACTGCTCGGACTGTTTCTTGTTCTTCCCCCGAACCCACCAGATTTTCCTCTGTTCTCTCTTGATCTATTACCTGAGAAACTTGATCCCCTGCGATCTCGGTTATCCATGTCAAAATCGGAATCGTCAGGCGAAAAGGAGCTTCTTTTATTCTTGAACGCTCCTCTTCCTCCGCTGTCTCTTTTCCCACGCCTGAAATTCTCTTCTGGACCATCGTTTTCCAGTTCAGAATCAAAATCAGAATCATCATCCGAACCAAAGCTCATCTTTCTAGATCGTGGGCTTCTTGGATTCGAAGCGACATGGCTCGATCTCCATGCAGGAGTAACAGAGACCTCATCATCTGAATCCAAACCCAGTTCGTCGTCATCGGAGAACACAGCTGCTTTACTCTTCACTTGTTTGTTTTGATTGCTGTAAAGTTTTGAAGTCCCTCCTCTAAGTGCATTAGCACCAGCCCTTGGCTCTGAAAACTCTTCATCTTCAGAGAATTCGTAAGAAGCAGAGGAAGATTGAACTCTGGGGACGTCTCTATCCCTACCTTCGTCTATCTCGTAGCTATCGACGTCGTCTTCATCGTCAAAATCATCAAATCCAATTCCGGGTCTTCCCCTCCTGCTGGAATCAGAACTCTCTCTCATACTAAACCTTTGGGCTTCTGGGCGCCTGTCAAATTCGTCGTCAGGATCTCTGAAACCCTCCAAAGGAGGGTCCGAGGTTTTGTCTCTTAGGCTAGAATCTGCATATTCAAATGCAGCGACATCTGCTCCATCAGATTCATCATCATCGAAATCAAAGTTCCAGGCATTGGAAACGTCATCACGCTTCACAGGCCTCTGCGTCCCTGTTCCTGTTCCTGTGCCATACTTTGTTTCACGGGTTTTGTTCTCTACAAACTCGTCGGGAGGACGCTTGCAATCGCAATGAAAACAAGCCATGTTTCTTCTGTAATTTAAGAAGTTGCACCTGCCGCAACAACAAAAAGCTTAAGTCAGCAACTCGGTACAATCTTAAGTGGTAAACACATTAAAGCCTGTAAGAACTTACTCAGGGCATTCCCATTCTCCTGGAAGAAGCTGTCGCTTTGGCCTCTTGGCGTCGCATTGCAAGCAAACTGTATTCTTTGCAAAATTCATGAAATCACACCTGGGCACAAATATCAACTGGTTTAACATTTCGGATAAAAATGTAGAACAGAACGTTTATAAAAAGCGCCTAGCCGCAGTCAAAATTGGTGCAGCAATGAAAGCAAGAAATGTCTATGGCCGACCCTAGCTAAGTACACACTACACATATGGACATAGAAGAAACCATGTCATGCAGATGGGCATACAAGAGACAAAGCCAGTTCAAATAACACATCGAATGGATTTGAAGCAAAACTCAACATACAGCTACTTTCTCCTTCTACGTGAAGCTCGGGCCCTGCATCTTCTTGTGCTCTCATTCTAATTCTGAGCAAGTATTATCAATTTTCACATACTCTTTCCAGTTACTATCAAACTGCAGCTGGAAGTCTGGAAATAAATCGATATAAGCCTGGGAGGATAAGCCCTAAATTCAGATTTGGAACACCAAATAACTTAAAGATCAAGACAACACTTACTTTGGGCACAGCCAATCTCCTTTCTTCATCTCGATGTCATCACGGCCAACACGTTTCTTTGGAGGTGGTGGTGGCTGTTTCACTTTTGGGGGCGGCTTCTTGATAACAGGTGGGGGAAGATTGGGATCTATCGGTACAGCGCTTAACTTGACAACCTCGTGAATAAGTTTGCGGATGACATTCTTAACAGACTTTTTCTTCAATAGATCTTTATTGGTCACCGGCCCATGCAATGGGTCAAAACCATATGCAAACAAGATGCGCATAAGGTCAATAGTTCGAGCCTCGTCTTCTTTGTTGGTCAGCAAAAAGGCCTTTTCACATGAATTCCTCAAGCTGCAGGAGCTACAGACCTGATATATGAATGAATTGTCATCATCTGAAGAGCCAATTGATGGTAAACCAATTAGAAAATTAACTAAAAATCGAGAGAGAAAAAAACAAGATAAACAAACGTGGATACAAGGAACAAATATACAATTAACACACAGGCCAAAACTTTAACCAAATATTGAGGAAAATCACGTAGAACGATAGATACAAAACAAAAAAGAAGAAAAATACATGTGATAGGTTTTGCTGCTTAATGCCAAGCTGAATAGTATATTTATTTACTCATCGTCAATTGTAAAGCCATTGATTAAATAACTATTCAGCAGGGTAAGATTTATTAGGGAAGAATAAGGTCAATGTGTAAATTTAAGCGGAGTATCAAGAAAGCAATGCTTACATCTCCTTCGTCGAGACGTACACGTTTCCTCAGCAGTTTTCCCGAGAAAACCACCTTTCTATCTGTGGTTGGGCATCCATGACCAACAAGAATCTGGATATCATTTCTTGACAACGACCTGTGGGTCATCAGCACAACCCGAAACAAAATGAAAACAACTTGTATGCGTTCTAATCGTAACTTCATCAGTAACCCAAACAAAGGGCACAATCATAGTATTTTTTTTTTCCTAGTGTAAGATGATAAATACGGCTTCACAGAGATCAAACACAAATCTGTTCCACCATTTCACCAATACGGCATTCGGAAGACAAATTACAGTTCTAATAAGAACCTCAGATTACGTGACGAACCAAGATTGCTTGAACAAGCCACAGTATAAAATGAACAATTGCAAGATACTCGGAAAAAAAACACGCAGTAGCAGATGCTAGACTAGCACACAGTGATGCGATCATGCGATAAGTCAACAAAATTATATCATGAATCATGACTGGCATTACAAATAACATAAGAGATGGTCTGATCAATTCGTTCGACTTCCCCAAACAATACATCAATCCTAACAAAAACATCTCATGCCTAATACACACTTCTCTAGCAATCTTGAGGAATGGCAAACTATATCAAAGCATTTCCATTGGAGAACCACCATGAAGCCTTATACACGCACTAGCAATGTAGAATCCAAGTTAAACATATTGAGCCTATGGCCATTGTTCAGAACACGGAATCAGTGTTTGGATTAGTTTCAGTTTGACAAACCTTATGATGTCGAATCGGTCCTTCCCGAAATTGATACATGCGTTCTGAACAGTCTTAAAATCCTGAAGCAAAGCATTCCCGACATTGTCATCACCATCATCGACTTCCACAATATCGGAGGAGTCTAGGCCCAGACTCTCCACCATCTTGTCTTCGTCTTTTCTCCTATGATCGAGGTAATTCTGCTGCACTAACCTCTCCATCAGCTCCATCCACTCCGGCCACGGATGCACCAGCTCCACCACAGCCTTCTCCTTCCTCAACTCGCCCGAGTCCGACAGAGTCAATTCGGTAGAACCAGAATTCGCGTCGGTTCCGTCGGATTCTACCGATTCAGGGTCCAAGTTTTGACCTGTGGATGCTGTCTGTTTGGATTGGCGCCATGCTCGGATACGCTCGAGGGTTTCGTCTTGCTCAGAACGACGCTGTTCAATGGCATCGATCTGGTCAAATACGAAGCTGAGGCGTGAAGAAAGAGACGAGGGTTTGGGCGATGAGTCGGGATCAGGGTTCTGCTCGGCCGAAGTAGAGAGGGGTTTTCCAAGAACGGGCTGGAAAATACGGCGGCTTTTAGGGTTTGGAAGGGACATAGAGAGGCGTCTGATGAGGAGAAGAGATATTGGCGAAGATGCCATTGTATAGACAGAGAAAAGTTAGGAAGAGGCTCAAATCGCTCGGCGTTTTGCGGAATCCGCCATGGAAAGTGGTGAAGGGGAGAGGGTTTATACCCTGCTTGTGTTGTTGCTGCTAAACCCTACCAGCGAAATGTGACATGAGAGCAAAGTGCAAACCCTCAAATGATATAAAACCAATTTAAAATCTGCATATCATTACGCTTTCAAATAAACCTTATTCCTTAGTGAAATATTTTTAAAAGCTAATTTAAAAAGCATTTATTTAAAATGTAAAGCATATTTTTTTTTTAAATAGAATTTTAAATTAGGTAGAAATTTTCAATGGATACTTGTAAATTTTTTTAAAAAATGGATGTTTTTAAATAGATATTTTTGAATTTAGAGGTTTTTTAGATGTTTTCATTTTCCTTTTTTTTAATCCTAAAAACTGTATTTTAGTTTTATTTTTAAAAATCCAGTTTATGTTCTAAAATATAGATTATATAGAAAAGGTGTAAGAATATACAAATTTTAAAATGTTTCTGAAGTATGTGAAATTTTTTAGAAACTATTAAAAATGATCAGATTCGAAGGCTATTTACGAATTAACAAAATCCGGAGGACTGTTGTGCCATTTATATTTGTCTTCACTCGCAACGTAAATAAAACTGACGCAAGTAACACCGTAAAATCATACGAGATGGTTCGATTTGCCTTAATTTACAACGACGATCATCCATCACGCTCTAATCGAATAACTCCCATTAAATTTTGCATTACAGTAAAAAAAAAATGTAAAATCGACATTCTGCCGGGAAATCTCGTCCAATGCAATACCCCAGAAATTTTTTTTTGTCTGTTCTTTTATTGACTTTTACTTGGAAGACACTTTGAAAGGTCAACGAAATTGCGCTGAAGTTTCCACATTGGTTCATAAAAGTGTGAGGGAAGTGTTGTTGGATTCCACGAAGCTGTCTTCTTGTTCTAAGCACATCAATGGCTTCCCCAGGAAGAGAGCTCTTTCCTTCACCAATGGATTCTCGAGAAGCCAAACGACGGAAAACCCTATCTCTGCCCTCCCACCTTCCTTCTTCTTCTCGCCGTTGGAGATACGATGTCTTCCCGAGCTTCCGTGGTGAAGATGTCCGCACCAGATTTCTCTCCCACTTTCGCAAGGAGTTCCATCGCAGAGGGATCATTACGTTCGACGATAACGGGATGGAGAGAAGCGAGTCGATCGCGCATGTGCTCGTACGAGCCATCGAAGAATCTCGGATGGCGATCGTCGTTCTCTCCAAGAACTATGCTTCTTCCAGCTGGTGCTTGAACGAGCTACTCCATATCATGCGCTGCAAGGATTCCGCCGGACTGAAAGTGTTCCCCATCTTCTACGATGTGGATCCATCGGATGTACGGAAGCAGACGGGGGATTTCGGAAGGGCTTTCGAAGGAACTTGCGTGGGTAAATCGGAGGAAGAGAGGCGAAGATGGAGTCAAGCTCTAACCGATGCGGCCGGTCTTGCAGGAGAGCACTCGCTGAATTGGTTTGCTCTTTCTATTCAACTTGTGTGCTATGTTTTCCGACGCATATTGTTGAATTTCGATCATGATCGTGATCATAATTGGGATATTATCATGTTCATGGGGCATCATATCTTAAGTTCCTCAAATTAGTTTGATGAATAAGAAACTCCGCATCTCTTGCTCGACCGTCTGATTGAGGTGGCGTTGTTCGTTCTCTCTTTCTTTTGTAGGGCTGGGGAAGCAGACATGATCGAAAAAATTGCTTATGTTGTTTCGAAAGAGCTGAATCACACACCGTCGAGGGATTTCGATGACTTTGTCGGAATGGGAGCTCATATGGAAAATCTGATGCAGCTGGTGAGTTTGAAATCAGATGGAGTGAGGTTTGTGGGGATGTGGGGTCCTGCAGGCATTGGTAAGACCACCATTGCCAGAGCTTTGTTCCAGAGACTCTCGCCCGACTTCAACCTCACTTCTTTCCTAGAAAATGTCAGAGGAATCTGTGAGAGAGCTGGACAACATTCCTCGCAATTACCACTGCAACAACTGCTTCTGTCTGAAATATTTGACTTCAAGGATATAAAGATAGAACATTTAGGAACTGTACGAGAAAGACTGAGGGGTCAGAAAGTCCTTCTCGTTCTTGATGGCGTGGATGCGTTGGGACAATTGGATGCCTCGGCGGGAGACACCAGTTGGTTTGGTTGTGGAAGCAGGATCATCGTGACGACTCAAAACAGGAAACTTCTTAAAGCCCATGGGATCAACCATGTGTACGAAGTGCCCTTTCCATCTCGCCGTGAATCTCTTGAGATCTTTTGTCGATGTGCTTTCAGACAAAGCTCTCCGCCTGACGACTTTCGTGACTTAGCGGTCGAAGTCGCAAAACTTGCCGGCGATCTCCCTCTAGCTCTCAGCGTATTGGGTTCGTCGCTACGAGGAGAGAGCAAGGATGAATGGGAACTTGCTTTGCCAAGGCTCAGATCTACTCTCGATGGTGAAGTTGAGAAAACGCTGAAAGTGGGGTTCGATAGCTTATCCCGTAAAGATAGATCCCTATTTCTTCACATCGCATGCTTCTTCAACAATAAAAAGGTTGGTGTTTTATCTCAACTGTTTGGGAAGAGTGGGTTGAACGTCGAATTTGGCCTTAAAGTCCTGGAGGAGAGGTCTCTCATACGTATAGATGAAGGGGGAGTTGTAAGGATGCACTCTTTGCTTGAGAAAGTGGGTAAAGAGATCATCTGCGGGGAATCAGAAGATCCTGGGAGACGTCAATTTGTATGGGATGCTGAGGATGTTTACCAAGTGCTTTCCGAAAACATGGTAATTTGTGCCACTACCATATTCAATCAAAGTTGATTAGTAAAATCTAACACATGATCTGAGATTTTCTTTCCTTTTACAAATGTTTCAGGGTTCTGAAGTTATTTCAGGCATATCTTTAAATGCGCCAGGATTAACAGACGAGTTGTGTATAAGTGACAGCACCTTCCAAAGGATGCCCAATCTCAAGTTTCTAAGGTTCTTCACCTATGAAGCTGAAGTGGGGCTGTTGAATGTATCGGAGGAAGGGTTGAGTTATTTGCCGAGTAAGCTTTCGTTACTAGAGTGGGAATGTTACCCTCTCAAGACAATGCCTTGCAGGTTTCGTCCTAAGTGTCTCGTCCGACTCGTGATGCGACACAGTAAGCTTGAGAAGCTCTGGGACGGAATTCAAGTAAGTGAATTGATACTTGTTTTTCTCCCCTTCGTTTATGATCGGAAATGCAATTTATGAATTTTGTTTTTTAAAATAATGGATAGAAAACCCTCCCAATTTGACCAGATTAATTTGTTTGTCATTAATCTTAACTATTCCTTATATGTATTTTACAGTTATACCCCAATTGGTTTTACATAATAACCATTCTATATTTCCTCCATAACATTAAAACATTTTGGTTCGCAATGATTTTTCCAATAAATTTATTAGTCTTACGTTTTTCTGTATTTCACATTTTTGCTTTTATAAAACTAAACACCTACGAGTGTTTCTGTTCACTTCTTACTTGTGATTTTAAATTGGATTATTCTGTTAATATGGTCCAAAAAAATTATAACTAAAAATTGGTAGTAGAGTAATTATTTTCTTTTTGCAAATTGCAAATTCTATTTCATCTTGCACTTTTGAAAGTAGTTTTGATATTTTAATAACTGAAATCAGTTACTTTTAAAAAATTATATTATTTTCCATGTGTGTTTATTTTCAGCCGCTCGGCAGTCTCAAGCATATGGACTTGAGTAAGTCTAAGAGCCTCAAAGAAATCCCCGACCTCTCAAATGCCGTCAATCTCGAAACTCTGGTTCTTAGTAAGTGTTCGAGCTTGGTTGCGCTTTGCCATCTTTTGAATGCCAGGAAACTTCGAGAGTTGGATCTTGAGCGTTGCTCAAGTTTGGTGGAACTTCCTAATCTTTCAAATGCCGTCAATCTCGAAACTCTGGATCTTGGAGGTTGCTCAAGTTTGGTGGAACTTCCTGATCCTTCGAATGCCAAGAAACTTCTAAACTTGTATCTTAGTAATTGCTCAAGTTTGGTGGAACTTCCTGATCTTTCAAATGCTGTCAATCTAGAAACTTTGAATCTTGGAGGTTGCTCAAGTTTGGTGGAACTTCCTGATCTTTCAAATGTCGTCAATCTCGAAACTCTGAGTCTTAGTGGTTGCTCAAGTTTGGTTGAAGTTCCTGATCTTTCAAATGCCTTCAATCTCGAAACTCTGAATCTTAGTGGTTGCTCAAGTTTGGTTGGAGTTCCTGATCTTTCAAATGCCTTCAAACTCGAAATTCTGTATCTTAGTGGTTGCTCAAGTTTCGTCGAGCTTCCTGATCTTTCGAATGCCGTCAATCTCAGAATTCTGAATCTTAGTGGTTGCTCAGGTTTGGTCGAACTTCCTGATCTTTCAAATGCCGTCAATCTCGGAACTCTGAATCTTAGTGGTTGCTCAAGTTTGGTCGAACTTCCTGATCTTTCAAATGTCGTCAATCTCGGAACTCTGAATCTTGGTGGTTGGTCAAGTTTAATTGAACTTCCTGATCTTTCAAATGCCGTCAATCTCGAAACTCTGGATCTTAGTGGTTGCTCAAGTTTGGTCGAACTTGCTGATCTTTCGAATGCCAAGAAACTTCGAAACTTGTATCTTAGTGGTTGCTCAAGTTTGGTGGAACTTCCTGATCTTTCGAATGCCAAGAAACTTCGAAACTTGTATCTTAGTGGTTGCTCAAGTTTGGTCGAACTTCTTGATCTTTCAAATGTCGTCAATCTCGAAACTCTGGATCTTAATGGTTGCTCAAGTTTGGTTACGCTTCCTGATCTTTCGAATGTCAAGAAACTTCGAAACTTGGGTCTTAGGGGTTGCTCAAATTTGGTCGAACTTCCTGATCTTTCAAATGTCATCAATCTCGAAACTGGATCTTAGTGGTTGCTCAAATTTGGTCAAACTTCCTGATCTTTCAAATGTCGTCAATCTCGGAACTCTGAATCTTAGTGGTTGCTCAAGTTTGGTCAAACTTCCTGATCTTTCAAATGTCGTCAATCTCAGAATTCTGGATCTTCGTGGTTGCTCAAGTTTGGTCGAACTTGTTGATCTTTCAAATGCCGCCAATCTCGTAACTCTGGATCTTAGTGAGTGTTCAAGTCTGGTCACATCTGCCACATCTCTATGGGAACTCAATAAACGGGAGGGGTTGGACATGGAGGAATGCACAAATCTCAAGATCTTTTGTCGATGTGCTTTCAGACAAAGCTCTCCGCCTGACGACTTTCATGACTTAGCGGTCAAAGTCGCAAAACTTGCCGGCGATATCCCTCTAGCTCTCAGCGTATTGGTTCGTCGCTACGAGGAGAGAGCAAGGAAGAATGGGAACTTGCTTTGCCAAGGCTCAGATCTACTCTCGATGGTGAAGTTGAGAAAACGCTGAAAGTGGGGTTCGATAGATTATCCCGTAAAGATAGATCCCTATTTCTTCACATCGCATGCTTCTTCAACAATAAAAAAGTTGGTGTTCTATCTCAACTGTTTGGGAAGAGTGGGTTGAACGTCGAATTTGGCCTTAAAGTCCTAGAGGAGAGGTCTCTCATACGTATAGATGAAGGGGGATATATAAGGATACACTCTTTGCTTGAGAAAATGGGTAAAGAGATCATCCGCGGAGAATCAGAAGATCCTGGGAGACGTCAATTTGTACGGGATGGAGAGGAGCGAGTCGATCACACATGTGTTCGTACGAGCCATCGAAGAATCTCATGTGGCGATCGTCGTTCTCTCCAAGAACTACGCTTCTTCCAGCTGGTGCTTGAACGAGCTGCTCCATATCATGCGCTGTAAGGATTCCGCCGGATTGGAAGTGTTGCCCATCTTCTACGATGTAGACCTATCGGATATACGGAAACAGATGGGGGATTTCGGAAGGGCTTTTGAAGCAACTTGTGTGGGTAAATCGGAGGAGAAGAAGCGAGGATGGAGTCAAGCTCTAACCGATGTGGCCGGTCTTGCAGGAGAGCATTCACGGAATTGGTTTGTTCTTTCTATTCAACTAGTATGCTATGTTTTCCAACGCATGTTGTTGAACTTTGATCATGATAACATGATGGAGAGAGGCGAATTTATTGATCATGATCATAACTGGGATATTATCATGTTCTTCAAAATAGTTTGATGAATAAGAAACTTTGCATCTGTTGCTCGACTGTCTGATTGAGGTGATGTTGTTCTTTCTCTCTTTCTTTTGTCAGGGATGAGGAAGCAGACATGGTCGAAAAAATTGCTCTTTTTGTTTTGAAAGTGCTGAATCTTACACCATCAAGAGATTTTGATGACTATGTCGGAATGGGAGCTCATATGGAAAATTTGATTTCATTGTTATGCTTAGAATCAGATGAAGTGAGGTTTGTGGGGATATGGGGTCCTGCAGGCATTGGTAAGACCACCATCGCCAGAGCTTTGTTCCAAAGACTCTCTCCTGAGTTCAACCTCAGTTTTTTCCTAGAAAATGTCAGAGGAATCTTTAAGAGGGCTGGACGATATTCCTCGCAGTTACGATTGCAACAACTGCTTCTGTCTGAAATATCTGACTTCAAGGATATGAAGGTACATCATTTAGGAACGGTACCAGAAAGACTGAGGGATCAGAATGTCCTTCTCGTTGTTGATGATGTGGATGCGTTGGAACAATTGGAAGCCTTGGCAGGAAACACCGGTTGGTTTGGTCCTGGAAGCAGGATTATCGCGACGACTCAAAACAGAAAACTTCTTAGAGCCCATGGGATCAACCATGTATATGAAGTGCCTTTACCAAGTGCTTTCCGAAAACATGGTAATTTTCGTCACTACCATATTCAATCAAAGTTGATTAGTAAAATCTAACACATAATCTGAGAGTTTCTTTCCTTTGACAAATGTTTCAGGATACTGAAATTCTTTCAGGCATATCTTTACTTTGTGGGAATTAACAGACGAGTTGTGTGTAAGTGATAACACCTTCCAAAGGATGCCCAATCTCAAGTTTCTAAGGTTCTCCCATAGACTGCTCCATCCATCGAAGCTGTTGAATGTATCAGAGGAAGGGTTGAGTTATTTTCCGAGTAAGCTTTCGTTATTGGAGTGGGATTATTACCCTCTCAAGGCGATGCCTTGCAGGTTTCGTCCTCAGTGTCTCGTCAGACTCGTGATGCGATACAGTAAGCTTGAGAGGTTGTGGGACGGAATCCAAGTAAGTGAACTAATAATTGTTTTTCTCCACTTAGATTGTGATCTGAAATACAATTTATGAATTTAGTTTTTCAAAAATAAAGATATTTTTATTACTTTTGATATGCTAATTTCTGTTTTTTTTTATTATGAATAGAAAACCTCCCAATTTGACTAGATTAATATGTTTGTTATTAATCTTAACTAGTCCTTATATATATATATTACAGTTATACCCCAATTGATTTTACATAAATCCATAATAACCCCATTCTATATTTCGTCCATAAAATTAAAACATTTTGGTTTGCAGTGATTTTCCCAATAAATTTATTAGTCTTATGTTTTTTCTATATTTCACATTTTTGGTTTTATAAAACTAAAAGCCTTCAAGTGTTTCTGTTGACTTCTTATTTGTGATTTTAAATTGGATTATTCTGTTAATATGGTCCAAAACAATTATAACTAAAAATTGGTAGTAGAGTAATTTTTTCTCTTTACAAATTGTAAATTCTATTTGATCTTACAGTTTTGAATGTAGTTTTGATATTTTAATAATTGAAATCAGTTACTTTTAAAAAATTATATTATTTTCCATGTATGGTTATTTTCAGCCGCTTGACAGACTCAAGCACATGGACTTGAGGTAGACAGTAGCCTCAAAGAAATTCCCGACCTCTCGAATGCCGTCAACCTCGAATATTTGTTGCTTGATGGTTGCTCAAGTCTGGTCAAACTTCCTGATCTTTCAAATGCCATCAGTCTCGAAACTCTGGAACTAAGGTACTGTTCAAGTTTGGTTGCGCTTTGTCATCTTTCGAATTCCAAGAAACTTCAAAACTTGTATCTTCATGGTTGCTCAAGTTTGGTTGAACTTTGTGATCTTTCAAATGCCGTCAGTCTCAAATGTCTGGATCTTAGTGAGTGTTCAAGTCTGGTCACATTTGCCGCATCTCTATGGGAACTCAATAAACGGGAGGGGTTGGACATGGAGGAATGCACCAATCACGAGATTTCAAAGAACATTTGGTCCCTCTACGTGAATGATACAACAGTAGGAGAAGTGCCTTCGTCAATTCCACAATGGACTTACTGTCTTACTATTGTTAGAATGGTAGGCTACAGAAACCTCTGGACATTCCCATATTTTCCAGCCAGTTTGAAGGAGCTATATCTGTGCCGCACCAGCATAGAAGAGGTTCCTCCTTGGATCCATGACATCTCTTCCCTTGAAATTCTAGTGATGGCTTCTTGTGAGGAGCTAAAAATTATCTCGCCCAATGTCTGTCACTTGGAACACCTAGAAGAGCTGGATTTCGGTGGATGCAAGAGCGTTAGTAGCTTTCCGGCAGCAATCTTCTCAGCTAATGTGCTAGGCCTGGAAGACGTTCACCATAAGAGTCTGCCAAAGTGTCTATCTGAAAGGTGTTCAGCATCGGTGGAAGACCTAGACCTGTCGGGTTGTGGTTTCGAGAGCATTCCAGATTACGTCAAACATCTCTCCAGCCTACAGACTCTTGTGCTCAACAACTGTGAAAATCTCGTGTCACTGCCCGAGCTTCCACATTCTCTCCGTTCCCTTTACGCTTCTAACTGCGAGACGCTTGAGAGAATATATAGCTCCTTTTGGGGACAAGGTAATGTACTTGACTTCACCAATTGCTTGAAACTAAACAAAGAGGCGCGAGAGGTCATCCAACGAGCAGACTTTGGGAAGGTGATACTCCCTGGAAGTGAAATACCTAAAGATTCTTCTCCTCTTCAAGCTACTGGAAGTTCACTGACCATCCTTCCAGCTGATCAGATCTATGCGCCCTTCGCATTCAAAGCCTACATCGTACTTGCTGCTCAATCTGTCGTAACAATTGATCCGTCACTCACAGTTGGAATGTCTTACCGTTTTACGGACAAAAGCGGAGGACGTAGGCAATTTATTTGGCAAGTCAAGATTGGACATGATTTCAGGATTTATAGAACTTACCCACCGAAGGAAGAACATCTGATTGTGGTTTCTCATGTGCATGGAGACATTGACGTAGAGGAAATAAGCACCCTCAATGAGTTGGTGCTTCAGTTCAGAGTCGGTTCTTACGAGATAATAAGATGTGGCGTCGAGTTCTTGCAACTTTCTCAACAGCGACCAAAGTCTGCCCCTTGGTAAGTTTCAGTAAAATGTTAGATGGCATTGTTTCATATATGATTTGATCAACATGGTTCACTATTAAGCATATTATTGAAAAGGTGAACAGTGTTTATAATCTACATATCATGGGTTCATAGAAAACACAAAAACAAAGGTGATGTTGAAGATCTCAACCCTAAAGACGGAAACTTTCACCGGAAGTTGTGAAGTCTCTTGGCCGATAGGAGAGTGTTGGAAAGAAGCATGGCTATAGCCATCTCTGAGGACTACATTAAACATCTTCCCCGGCTGCTGACGCTTTGCATCAGCAATTGTGAAAATTTCGTATTACGTCAGGTGTATGTATTCAATATATGGGCATATTTTTTCATACGATTAAATATTATATTTGATATTCATCGTTATTTATTTAAGATTACATGTCAAGAATGATTTAAGATGACAAATCTTCCTATAGACTGATATAAGCGGTGATAAACCCCTACTTTTCAGAACTTTTTGTTAACTGGACACAGAGACAATTCAATAGGTACGAGTGTGTCGAGGATGCGGAGAGAGTTTGGGTTCGCGTTGGCAGGAATTTCCGATAGCCTCGGGCATCCACGGACGTCCAGAAGCTCGAGTTTGCAGAGTCCCCAGAGAGACGAGGGAAGCGTGGTTAAACTTCTGCAGAAAGCAAGAACCAATGTCTTGAGATTCGTCGCCCTTGAAAGGTCCGGAACTCCTCTTAGTTTAGAAGAACGTCTCAAGTTCATGTACTTGAGATTGCCAAGGGGCTGAAAACGCAAATAAAACACATGAAACGTGTAATGACCAAAAACATGTTACAAAGGAATAGACATCATCATCAAGAAGATCACTTACTTGTACTCCGTCCCACAGCCTCACGAGATTACTGCGCGGCAGGTCGATTCTAACAAGGAATTCAGGGCAAAACGTCGGCGGCAGGGATTCCAAGGGACAATCAGTCCACTCCAGCAATCTCAGCTTGCTGGGCAGATAGCTCAAGGCCTCGGTTACATACAAATCCCCTCTATACTCATCGTCGTCAATACATATGAACTGCGCATTTGGTATCCTTTCAAACGCCTTGCCGCTTATATAAGCTACGCTCTGTACGTCTAGCAATATACCTAAAACAGATTCTGCATGCTGAAACATACACATATATCCATTCCACAAGTAGAAAATTGTGAGTTATTGATCACCGACCAAAAGTAAAACGTACAAGTACAAAAATCATACCGTTTCATTGGTAAGTACGTCGTAGATATCGGTAGCATCCAATAGAAACTGGCGTTTCCCGGGATCGTCCCTTGATTGTCTGTAAACGATTTCTTCACCCATTTGTTGCAGTAACTTATTCATCGTTATGGATCCATCCTCGTGTATTTGTATGAGGGACCTCTCGGCCAGGACGTTAAGCCCGAACTTGACGTCCAAGCCACTGTTTGCCAACATGTCGAATATGAAATCGATAGGTCTATTGTTGAAGAGGCATGCAATGTGAAGGAATATGGATTTATCTTTATCAGATAAACAATCAAACCCAACTCTCAGTACTTCCTCGATGTCGCCGTCGAGGCTGCTTCTGAGCCTGTGCAAAGCGTGACTCCACTCATCCAGTGACCTTCCTCGTAGAGATGAACCCAAGACGCTAAGACCCAGAGGAAGATCACCGGCAAGTTGAGTAACTTGAACAGCTATGTTATAAAATTCAGATGGGGGAAAGCTTTGTCCGAACGCATGCTGAGAAAAGATCTGAAGTGCTTCGGAATTGGACGGGAAAGGCACTTGGTATACATGGTTGATCCAATGAGCTCTTAAAAGTTGTTTGTTTTCAGTAGTGACGATAATCCTACTGCCAGAGCCAAACCACTGTGGATTCTTGGCCAATGCTTCTAATTGCCCTCTTCTGTCCACATCGTCAAGAACCAGAAACACTTTGTGACGCCTCAGCCTTTCCGGGGCTACGCCTAAGTGGTGTATCCTCAGATCCTTCTGGTCAAAGATTCCAGAAAGAAGATGCTGCTGTAGATATAGTTTTGAGCCGTATTCATCAAGCATGGTTCTCTTGTAAGTTCCCTTGACGTTTGGCATGAAATAAGTAAGCCCAAAGCTGGTAGACAATCGGTTGAATAAAGCTCTGGCGATGGTGGTCTTACCAATGCCTGCAGGTCCCCATATCCCCACAAATCTAACTTCGTTGGATTCCAGACCCAGCAATGAAATCATCTTTTGCATATGAGATTCGATTCCGATTATGTCTTCGAAATCTCTCGAAAGTGTAGAATTCAGCAGCTTCGAAACATCAGTGGCGATTTTTTTTATCATGTCTGCTTCGCTATCCCTACAAAGGAGAAACCACAACACAACCTTAGTCAAATGTTCTGAGAAACTAATCTACACACGCAAAATGGCAAACTCGCATGAACAAGAGTGTTTCTAGGACTATTATAAACGCGGCAAGGCATAAACGCACACCACCACATGAAAATATGAAGGAGAGAAGATGAAAGAGTGAAAATCGGATCACAAGGTACCATTTCTCTGAATGCTCTCCGGCTATGTTGGAAACCTCGGTTAGAGCATTCTTCCATCTTTGCTTATCCTCCGATGATTTGCCGACACAAGTTTTCTTGAAAGCCTTTCCGAATTCTCCGATCTGCTTCCTTACATCAGATGGATCCAGTTGGTGGAAAACTGTCATGACCGTCTGCCCAGCGCTTCTCCTCTGCTCCATGATCTGAAGCAGCTCGTTCAAGCACCAGCTCGAGGAAGCGTAGTTCCTGGAGAGAACGACGATCGCAATCCTCGACTCTCGGATGGCTCGTTCAAGTTCAGGGCCGATGGATCGACTCCTCGCTATTCCATTGTCCTTGAACGTAAAGATTCCTTTCCGTTCGAACTCTTCGTGAACGTGGGACAGAAAGGTTCTTCGGACATCTTCGCCACTGAAGCTCGGAAAGACATCGTATATGGAATGCCAAGAAGAAGAAGAAGAAGAAGAAGAAATCATCTTCGGAGATGTCTGAATAGCAAAATTTGCAGGGCACATTCTCCATTGAATGTCCTTAAGAGAACACGGAAAGAAGGTGGAACGCACCTTCGTCGTTCTTTAGTTTTTGACCAGTGATGAAAAGTCAATACTGGTACTCGATTTTTGTCACAGAAACTAAGATAATATTTGCTTCGCGGCTTCCTGTAATGTTTCCATATGTCGGTCCACTGTAATTTCATTTCATCTATAAAAACTACGCGCCTTATACAATAGTTTATATTTATCTTATGTTTACAAAAATTCTTTTTCCGCTTACAGATTTAGAAAAAATTTACAACATGGGAAATTAGAAACGATAATATCAACTCCTTTATTAGACATTTATGCAAATAAATGGAGAGTGAAGTATATCGTTGGATCCACAAACCCTCCTCTTGATCTACGAATATCAATGGCAGAGAGCCCTTTCCCATGGATTCTCGAGATACCAAACGACGAAAAACCCTAACTCTACCCTCTCACTTTCCTTCAGCAGATTTCTCTCCTTTCCGTTCGCAAAGAGTTCCATCGTAAAGGGATCCTTACGTTCCATCTTGGAGTATAATAATACTAAAGTTCTAAGACTTTTGAAAATGCATATGGGAAATTAAAAAGAACACAAAAATAGTAATTAGAATGGCTTAGTTTTTTTATGTAATTGGAACAATAAATAATTCTTTGTTTATTCAATGAAATTTTCATATTACTAACGAAGAATTTGCGTTGAAACTACTACGAAGTTGCGTTGCGGCTTCTTCTCAACTCACCTTGACTTATAAAAGAGCGCCGGAGGGTGCGAGATTGCTTGCTTGTGCTCCAAATTTTGACTATTCGGAAACTTGGAAAGATGATGATCCACCCTCTCTTTTCCTTCTCAAATGGCTCCATCATCATCATCACCATCATCGCCATCAAGATGTTGAAATCCTTCTCCTCCTCGTCATCAGATCACTCATCAGCTGAGACATCCGAAGAAACCGAACCGGAGATACCCATATCTCCAGCCCTTCACCTGGCTGCTTCTTCTTCTCCCCGCCGTTGGAGATACGATGTCTTCCCGAGCTTCCGGGGTGAAGATGTCCGCCGAAGATTTCTCTCCCACTTTCGCAAGGAGTTCCGTCGCAGAGGGATCACTACGTTCGACGATAACGTGATGGAGAGAAGCGAGTCGATCGCGCATTTGCTCGTACGAGCCATCGAAGAATCTCGGATGGCGATCGTCGTTCTCTCCAAGAACTATGCTTCTTCCAGCTGGTGCTTGAACGAGCTGCTCCATATCATGCGCTGCAAGGATTCCGCCGGGCTGAAAGTGTTCCCCATCTTCTACGATGTGGATCCATCGGATGTACGGAAGCAGACGGGGGATTTCGGAAGGGCTTTCGAAGGAACTTGCGTGGGTAAATCACCCCACCAGCCAGTCCCTCAGCAACCCAGACATATCCGAGGCCATTTCAGGTTCCCAGAAGAGTAGCTCAGCAAAAGAAGGATTAGAACTTCGTTGCATTGTGAACGATACCATCTATTTTGGCATATTTTGGTTGGAAACCTGTTTTTTTTGGTAGACCAACATTGGTAACATTTCTTTTGGTCTAAGGTTTACATCAGTTCTTTTGGTGGCAGGGGGTGTAGACAGGGTTTACATGTGCTCGTACGAGCCATCGAAGAATCTCGGATGGCGATCGTCGTTCTCTCCAAGAACTATGCTTCTTCCAGCTGGTGCTTGAACGAGCTGCTCCATATCATGCGCTGCAAGGATTCCGCCGGGCTGAAAGTGTTCCCCATCTTCTACGATGTGGATCCATCGGATGTACGGAAGCAGACGGGGGATTTCGGAAGGGCTTTCGAAGGAACTTGCGTGGGTAAATCGGAGGAAGAGAGGCGAAGATGGAGTCAAGCTCTAACCGATGCGGCCGGTCTTGCAGGAGAGCACTCGCTGAGTTGGTTTGTTCTTTCTATTCGACTTGTGTGCTATGTTTTCCGGCGAATTTTGTTGAACATCATCATAATTGAGATATTATCATGTTGATGGGGCATCATATTCTTATCTTAAGTTCCTCAAAATAGTTTGATGAATAAGAAACTCTGCATCTGTTGCTCGACTGTCTGATTTGAGCTGACGTTGTTCTTTCTCTCTTTCTTTTGTAGGGATGGGGAAGCAGACATGATCGAAAAAATTGCTTCTGTTGTTTCGGAAAGGCTGAATTTCACACCGTCGAGAGATTTCGATGACTTTGTCGGAATGGGATGTCATATGAAAAATCTGGAGCAGCTGATGTGTTTGGAATCAGATGAAGTGAGGTTTGTGGGGATGTGGGGTCCTGCAGGCATTGGTAAGACCACCATTGCCCGAGCTTTGTTCCAGAGACTCTCTCCCGACTTCAACTTCACTTCTTTCCTAGGAAATGTCAGGGGAATCTGTGAGAGAGCTGGACAATATTCCTCGCAATTACAACTGCAACAACTGCTTCTGTCTGAAATACCTGAGCTCAAGGATATGAAGGTACATCATTTAGGAACGTTACGAGAAAGACTAAGCGATCAGAAAGTCCTTCTCGTTCTTGATGACGTGGATGCGTTGGGACAATTGCAAGCCTCGGCGGGAGACCCGAATTGGTTTGGTCCTGGAAGCAGGATCATCGCGACGACTCAAAACAGAAAACTTCTTAAAGCCCATGGGATCAACCATGTGTACGAAGTGCCTTTTCCAAGTGAATCTCTTGAGATCTTTTGTCGATATGCTTTCAGGCAAAGCTCTCCGCCTGACGGCTTTCGTGACTTAGCCGTCGATGTCGCGAGACTTGCCGGCGATCTCCCTCTAGCTCTCAGCGTATTGGGTTCGTCGCTACGAGGAGAGAGCAAGGAAGAATGGGAACTTGCTTTGCCAAGGCTGAGATCTACTCTCGATGGTGAAGTTGAGAAAACACTGAAAGTGGGGTTCGATAGCTTATGCCATAAAGATAGATCCCTATTTCTTCACATCGCATGCCTCTTCAACAATGAAGAGGTTGGTTATCTATCTCAACTATTTGGGAAGAGTGAGTTGAACGTTGAATTTGGCCTCAAAGTCCTAGAGGAGAGGTCTCTCATACACATATATGAAGGGAAGGCTGTAATGCACTCTTTGCTTGAGAAAATGGGTAAAGAGATCATCCGCGGGGAATCAGACGATCCTGGGAGACGTCAATTTGTATGGGATGATGAGGATGTTCACCAAGTGCTCTCCGAAAACACGGTAATATTCAATCAATGTTGACTAGTAAAATCTGATAAATAATCTGAGATTTCATTCCTTTTACAAATGTTTCAGGGTACTGAAATTCTATCAGGCATATCTTTATGTATGTCTGAATTAACAGACGAGTTGTGTGTAAGTGACAGCACCTTCCAAAGGATGCCCAATCTCAAGTTTCTAAGGTTCGTCGCCTACGATGGTAAAGTGAAGCTGTTGAATGTATCGGAGGAAGGGTTGAGTTATTTGCCGAGTAAGCTTTCGTTACTCGAGTGGAGATATTACCCTCTCAAGACGATGCCTTGCCGGTTTCGTCCTAAGTGTCTCGTCCGACTCGTGATGCGACGCAGCAAGCTTGAGAAGCTCTGGGACGGAATCCAAGTAAGTGAATTGATACTGTTCTGTTTTTCTCCACTTAGATTATGATCTGAAATGCAATTTATGAATTTTGTTTTTTAAAAATAAAGATATTTTTATGTCTTTCGATATGCTATTTTCTGTTTCTTTGACTACATTAATATGTTTGTTATCAATCTTTAACTAGTCCTTATATATATATTTTACAGTTATACCCCAATTGATTTTACATAAATCCATAACAACCCCGTTCTATATTTCATCCATAAAATTAAAAGCATTTTGGCTTGCAAGGATTTTCCCAATAAATTTATTAGCCTTGTGTTTTTCTATATTTCACATTTTTGGTTTTATAAAACTAAACACCTTCAACTGTTTCTCCTGACTTCTTATTTGTGATTTTAAATTGGATTATTCTGTATATATGATCCAAAAAAATTATAAGTAAAAATTGGTACTAGAGTAATTTTTTCTCTTTGCAAATTGTAAATTCTATTTGATCTTACACTTTTAAAAGTACTTTTGGTATTTTAATAATTGAAATCAGTTACTTTTAAAAAAAACTTATATTCTTTTCTACGTGTGTTTATTTTCAGCCGCTTGGCACACTCAAGCACATAGATTTGAGTGGGTCTAGGAGCCTCAAAGAAATCTCAGACCTCTCGAATGCTGTCAACCTCGAAACTCTGAATCTTTTTGGGTGTTCAAGTTTGGTTACCCTTTGTCATTTTTCGAATACCAAGAAACTTCGAGACCTGGATCTTAGTGGTTGCTTAAGTTTGCTCGAGCTTCCTGATCTTTCAAATGCCGTCAACCTCGAAAATCTGGATCTAAATAATTGTTCAAGTTTGGTTGTACTTTCTGATCTTTCGAATGCCAAGAAACTTCGAAGGTTGGATCTTCATAGTTGCTCAAGTTTGCTCAAACTTCCTGATCTTTCAAATGCCGTCAACCTCGAAAATCTGGATCTAAGTAATTGTTCAAGTTTGGTTGTACTTTCTGATCTGCCGAATGCCAAGAAACTTCAAAAGTTGGATCTTCGTGGTTGCTCAAGTTTGCTCAAACTTCCTGATCTTTCAAATGTCGTCTACCTCGAAAATCTGAATCTAAGTTATTGTTCAAGTCTGGTCGTATTTGCCACGTCTCTGCGGGAACTCGATATGGACATGGAGGAATGCACCAATCTCGAGATTTCAAAGAACATTCGGTCCCTCTACGTGAATGATACAACAGTAGGAGAAGTGCCTTATTCAATTCCACAATGGACTTACTGTCTTACTATTGTTAGAATGGTAGGCTGCAGAAACCTCAGGAGATTCCCATGTTTTCCAGCCAGCTTGAAGCACCTATATCTGAGCGGCACCGGCATAGAAGAGGTTCCTCCTTGGATCCATGAAATCTCTTCCCTTGTAACTCTAGTGATGTCTTCTTGTGAGGAGCTAAAAATCATCTCCCCCAATGTTTGTCACTTGAAACACCTACATTTACTGGATTTCAGTGGATGCAAGGGCGTTAGCAGCTTTCCCGCAGAAATCTTCTCAGCTGTTGGGCTATGCCTGAGAAACATTCACCGTAAGAGTCTGCCAGAGGGTCTACCTGAAAGGTGTTCAGCATCGGTGCCATTTCTAGATCTGTCGGGTTGTGATTTCGAGAGTATTCCGGATTACATCAAGCATCTCTCTCAGTTAAAGACTCTTTGGCTCAACAACTGTGAAAATCTCGTGTCACTGCCCGAGCTTCCAGAGTCGCTCTGTTTCCTTTACGCTTCTAACTGCGAGTCACTAGAGAGAATATATGGCTCCTTCCCGAGTCAAGGTGAAGTACTCGACTTCACCAATTGCGTCAAACTAAACAAAGAGGCGCGAGAGGTCATCGGACGAGCAACAGGCTTTAAGAAGGTGATACTCCCTAGGAGTGAAATACCATCAGATACTTCTCCTCCTTAGGCTACCGGAAGTTCGCTGACCATCCTTCCGGCTGGTCAGATCAGTGTATCAGAACAGGGATTAAGGCGTATTAGAATATTCTGTCACCTGAACTTCAGTACCCTGTCTATACTCTGTTTTCTGCAATTGCTGGTTCAACATGGTACAGGTCTGGTACGAGGTTAAGGTTTGATTCCCTCTGGTTTACAAATTGTACAGATGGCGTAATTGCCTCAATTTATTTTTTGTAAACACACCTTTTTCATTCTCTAGGTTGTTATAGAATTTGTTATTCTATTTCTTTTCCCTGTATAAATATACATGTACACTGCAACATTTTCTTAATGGAAAAAAGGTCATTTGATCAGAAATCTCTCTCTAACGTTTATTTTTCTGCAAAGTTAATACAGTGCTCATGCTTCCTTCAGATTCAAGGCCTGTTGGAGAACATCAAACGGAGCCACCAAAAAGCCGAGATGATCCGTCGACAGAGAGACGAAGTCTAGACGAGGAACAGGTTTTCTTCAGCAACACTCAACTTGACAAAACCGAGAAGACAAATAGAAGGTTTGAAGAAAGATCTCATCTATCAGAAAAAAATATCTTCAAGATTAATTCTGCAGCATGATTAAATCTCTGTATATGGTAAACTACCTTTGATTTGTATTATGTTAATATTCCCTAACGTACTTTCCTTTTCCTTTAGTTTGGAAATGTCTATAATATGTAAACGACCACTTGTGAATAATATCAAGAGAAGTGAAATATCTTTTCCAGAATTTTCTATCGAACACAGTTCTTGTTCTTCTCCTTCTATGGCTTCTCTTCTCTGATTTAGTTTTCTGATAAATTCTTTAAGGCCTACGTCGTACTTGCTGCTGCTCAATCTGTCGGAGGAACTGATCCATACCTCACAGTTGGAATATGTTGCCGTTTTACTGACAAATACGGTGGAATATATTGGCGAATGTTATTATTGTTTGATAGCGATAGAGTTTCGCCCTTGAAGGCAGAGCATCTGGTTGTCGGTTCTCAGATGAGTGGAGACATTGTCAGTGATGTGGACGTGGAGGAAATAAGCACCCCTCGATGAGTTGGTGTTTCATTTCCAAGTCAGTGGTTATCAGATAATAAGATGTGGCGTCGAGCTCCTGTAACTTCAACTAAAATGACGTTGCCTTAATGTTTCGCCATGTCGGTCCATTGTAATTTCATTTCATATGCCAATATTAAGCGTCTTACACACTAATTATCCTTACGCCCACAAATTTTTATATTTTTTTAACATTTTTTTTTATCTACACGGGATTCTTTTCTAATATAGATATACATTGTTAGTAGCCTCGTGTGAAATATAAAAAACATTCTGAAGAAATATTCTGTTATAGAGCAGAGTAATTCTTTAACCCAAGACAAAAAAATCAGTTAGTTCCATGAAACGGAATAAGAAACCCATCATATTGGCTTGTGAATTGCACGAACACGACAACACCATGACATTCCATACATTTCTTCATACATGATTTGGTCAACATGATTCGCTTATAAGCATCTGATTGACAAGTTGAACACTTTTTATATAATAATCTAAATCATGGGTTCATAGAAAACACAAAAACAGGGATGCTGTTGAAGATCTCGACCCTAAAGGCAGAAACTTTCACCGGAAGTTGTGAATTCTCTTGGCCGAAAGGAGAGTGTTGGAAAGAAGCATGGCTATGGTCATCGGTCCCACACCGCCGGGAACTGGCGTGATTGCAGATGCCACGCTGCGGGCTTCCTCGTAGCAGATGTCTCCGACCAATCGGTAGCCACGTGGAGCTTTTGGATCCTGCAGTTCATTCACTTGTATCAGCATAGATATCGATGTGGATTATACTAGCATTACATGAGATGAGATCGACTTAAATCGTGAGGCAAAACCGAAAACTGGGTTCGTTCAGGTATTTGGATCCGAAATAGTATTATTACCTATGGATACCCAAACACCCTTTTGCTCGTATATTTGAGAGATATATACATATATACCTACTGAACAAATCGAATTCGGGTCCTCACCTCAACTGGATTGATCCCAACATCGATGATGACTGCACCAGGCTTTATCCAGTTCCCCCTAACCATGTTTGGTTGCCCAACAGCTGAGATTATGATATCTGCCTGCCTCGTGATATCCTCGGGGTTCTTGGTTCTCGAGTGGACAATGCTGACGGTTGCATCCTCTCCCTGCGAAAACCAAACAAAGATATCAGAAAATGCAACATCTTCCCATGGCGAAACTGTAAATTATGAATTACCAGCAGTAACAGAGCTGCAGGCATCCCGACAATGTTACTCCTCCCAATCACAACAGCTCTCTTTCCTTTAATCTCAATGTTGTATCTACGCAACAACTCTATGCATCCTTTGGGTGTACAAGGAACAAACAAAGGTTCTCTTCCCCGCATCGCAAGTTCCCCGATATTCTGCGAGCCAAACCCGTCCACGTCTTTCTCACAACTAATCGCACTCAACACATTCTCTTCATTCATGTGCTGCATATCATATCCAAATTCATGTGATGCAATCACAAGGCTTAGAATCCAGAAATTCAACTGCATATATACGTACACACATAGTTTTGGGGCTATACCGAAGGGAGAGGCAACTGTACGAGGATTCCATGGACGGAAGGGTCATCGTTGAAGCTGGAGACGAATTTGAGCACCTCTCCCTCGGATGAATCCTCGGGTAAATGCACTTCGAACGAGTTTATTCCGACAGATCCACAAGCTTTCTTCTTGTTCCTCACATACGTTGCTGAATCCTTCCTGTCCCCAACAAGGATTACTGCTAAACCAGGAACCAGGCCGATCGAATCCTTCATTCTAGAAACTTCAACAGCAATCTCTTCTCTTATCTTCTTAGCCACAGCCTTCCCGTCAATTACCATAGCAGAAGCAGCAGCCTCCGAATTGGCATCAGCTAAATTCCCACAAAGTCAAATTTTTGTATCATCAAAACAAACATAAGCACAACTCCACACCCAGTATATTGCAATATATCAGGATTTCGGCCGAACCGGAGACGAACTGAAGAGAAAACAAACAGATTCCTAGAATTTCCATGGACAAAAAACAGGAAAATAAAATTTTGAATATTTTCTTCGATTTCATTTCTCTCCCGTGCCGTAACATGAGGGGAAAAAATCGATTTTCATCAAATACTTCTCACTAACGCGTTAAATTCCCAGAAATCAAATTCGTGCATCATCAAAAAAAGTGAAGTTTCACAATTTGTGTCTAACTGGAGAAGAAGAGAGAAGAGGGGGAAAGAAACAGACTCCCAGAATTTTCAGAATTTATTCAATTTCTCCTCTCTTTCGTGCTCTAACACATAACCCCAACCCAAAACAAAGGAGAAGAGGTATGAAGGATACCAGAGACAACGGGAGTAGGAGAAGAAGAGGAGCGAACAGAGAGAGTGCTGCAGCTCCGTTCGGACGAGGTGGTTCGAAGGCGGAGTTGGCCAACGCAATGACGGAGAAAGACGGCGCCGGTGCGGCGATGGAGAGGAATGAGACGCGACGTCGCAGCGGAGGAACAATCGGTGAACATCATCGACGCCATTGTCGAGGAATTTAGGGCTTAACGAAAAATTTCACAACACAAGGGTAAATCGTTCACTTTGTTTTTAGGGTTTAGCGCTGTTCACTTAGATGCGCCTGAAAATTGAAGGGTTTTGACTTTTGAGTGTGACGTTAGTTTTTTTCTGGCAAAAAGAATCCGTAGTATTTATGAGATCCTATTCTTTAAATCAATTGTTAAAAAAATTAAAACCTAAATATAACATAACATGCAAAGAGAAAAAAAAATAAAACATTCTCAAGTTTATTACATAAATTTTATATTGGACGTATAATATGTCCATATAATAATAATAAAAATAATCTTTTGAGATAAAAAAAGGAATCTATTATAAGTTCAACTCTTTAGTAAATATTTGAGTATCATTTTTTGGTAAAATCTAATATCTATATTTGATAATATTAGTGTACATCCACAAAAATATGATCATGAAAACATTAATATCGGATGATTGAAATGATCATACTTTTTTTGGAATAAAGGAGACATTTATAGGAAACAAACACTTGACGGTAAATAAGTCAGAGTTAATTTTGACAAAATCTATGTATTTTAGTGATATTATATCATTTATTTTCATAAAACCTGCTTGGTTACATATTCAGGTGAACCAATCCCTCTTGCAGGTATAAAACTAGAGCATCACTATTTCCAAGATTAATTTGTTAAAATTTCTGAACATTTCGTCGATTATTTTTTATTTAAAATTTTAGTTTCGAGCAATGTATCTGTTTGAAGTTTATGTTAAATTTCTTTTTCGGGTTTCTATTAATAAAAAATATTTATTTTTAAGAACAACTTATTTTCCATTTTCTATTTTGTTTGGGTTAATATTTTTGTGATTTAAAAAATTATGTGAAATCTGATTAAACGTTATTTACTTCAATCTGATTTCTATATACTTGAAACTAATAGATATGGACCCTAATTATATATATAGACACCCACTACATACTCCAAGTTTAATTTCCAAAGGAAATGACAAATTCAGTGAAAAACTAAAACATTGAAGAAAAATTAGGGCTTATAATATTTCAGTGGAATAACAAAAACACCAAAGTATTTAGTGGTTATCTAAATACTTTCGAAAATAAATAGGATATTTTATAACAACACACATTTATCTAAATTGGCCTTAAAAAAAGGGTTGCCCCAAACAACAAATAACCAAAGGCATGCCAATCACGCAGCCCACCCATGACCAAGACCGTACGCATCCATGTAACCAGCACCTTGTGCATGACCATGCTCATGATCATGGTCATGATGATGATGATGATGGTTGCCGGACTTTGCTTCGTCTAACGGTCTCTGAACATTCTCAGGTACAGGCTCTTCAGCAACTCGTCTGATGGATCTTGGAAGCGAAGCGACAAACTCAGCCACGTATTTTGCAAGCTCGTCCGAGTTGCTTTCCTGCGTTAGATACATGTGCGTATCATCAAAACAATGAAAATGTCGGGAATCCAAGAAAAGGAGGTCGAGCTCTCGAATTTCGGTGAGAAAACATGGCAGGCAACAATGGCAAACATGATCTCGCGAGTGACAGAACTCAATAATCAGGATTAGATTAGAATATCTACGGCACCTGCCATTGGGTAAGGTTAAGGCAAAACATATCCGACTGTATCAGTGGTGAATTCAAGGGTAAAGGTTGAAGATTTACAGTATCAGCGATTGCTACAATGAAACGACGGATGGCAGAGAATAAAACCATCTAGTGTCTGTTAGACTGTTACTGGCTTGGGGGAAACTATAAATTAGAACAATCTGATCATGTAGTGGTTATTAAGCAAGAGAACAATCTGTTATCGTCCATGACAGAACTCGGTTGTAAAGTTCAAAACTTTATCGGATTTCAGACGAAACAAATTTAGGGTCTATGAGCTATAAATCCATCGGTATTGTAGCTACGAACCAGTAAGAGAAGAATCTCTAGCATCTATGATCGACCATGTCAAAATGAAGCTAAGCTTTCAAGGCTTTTTCTAACATACGATGGAAAAAAAGAACCTGATGGATTTGCTGAAGAAGAATCAATGATTCTCACCTGAGGCCACCGGCTTCCCAAGTGTGAGACGAACTTTGCCTTTGGAAGAGCCTTAGCTACACGGTTGCCCTCGTCGCTCCACTCTTTAGACCACTCACTGGACCAAACCACTTGCATCGGGATACCGTTCATCCCATCCGAATCGCCCCATCGTGCAATGTCAAAGCTATGATTCAGCTTCTTCATCGAACTGACTACTGCCCGCCTCCCGTTTCTTCCCTTCAAAAGTATCCTATGAGCATCAGCTTGAGATGGAGTCATACCGGTTGAGCAACATATGCCTACTAGTTTCTGGAACCCGAATGAAAACCCTAACAAGACTTCTCTCATTACAGGTACATTCAAAACCCACAATGGCAATGCTGGGGTAATCCCGGTGTCAATAAGGGTAACACTACGGACAACAGCAGAATTCTCGGAAACCCAGTTCGAAGCTAACCCTAGAGCTGAATCATGGACAACCAAATGTACAGGGGCTAAGCCCATTGTGTCAATCACCTGACCTAAAACCCTAGCCGTTTCTTCGCTCCCCAGTTCGATCGATTTTACAGTTCTCCGATTCGCGTTCTGGAGTTTTAGGATCGCCTCGTACGGTAACTCCCCTGTTTCAACCATCTGATCAAACGCCCAAAAAACCCCTTTTTCCTTGATCAAGCCATAAGCTTCCTTAAACCTCGCTAGAGCCCCAACCTCTCGATCTCCACCAATCACCACCGTTGATTTGTCCGAGAACCCATTTCCGGGCAAATCAACGGCCACAGCATGAACCCCTTTGGAGCCCATAGATCGAATCATGTCTCTAAAAGCATACGAACTAAGCCCTAAACCATGGACCACAACTACATTCTCGGACCCAATCGGACCAGATTCAGCAACAAAAACCTCGATCGGTGACTCGTTGGAGTTTACCTGGACCTTGATGGTTCGCCCATCTGAGTAATATTGACGGAGAGACGGAGGGAGAGAGAGAAACCATGATCTGGGGTCATCTCGAGTAGAGAGAGTAGAGAGAGAAACGAAGAAGAAGGTAGTGAGAGAGACGACGATTGTGAAGTAGAACCAGAAAGTGAAAGGGTTCTGAGTTTGGGGCTTGCGATTCTTCCTGATAGATTCCGGTTTCGCAGCTTCTTTGTGTTCCGCTTTGTTTTCCGGTGATGTAAGGGGCCGCTTGTCCTCTTCCTCCTCTGTAATAATCGCCATTGATGAAAGCTTGGAAGGCTGGAGGGGAAGAGTGTGAGCAGAGATGTCTGAAAAAGAGCGGAAAAGAAAGAAACGTGCTGTCGGTACAGTAGCTTTCCAGGACATCGTTAAAAGTAGAATAATTTTATTTAATGCCCCTCAAGCTTTTATGTTTTTTGAATATAACCAATAACTATTTTTTTTATTCAAACAGATCCCCGCTCTACAAAAAATTCAATTACTATGAGAGAGTACTTATAATTAATCTCAACCTAATTATCCTCTCAAGAATTGAAGATATACCCAGTGATTCCATATTTAAGAATGTTAAACATGAAACATGAAGGAGAAATAATTACAATTTTTTTTCTGTTTTTTGGAATATGGAATATGGATTAGCTTTTTGAAATAACATGTCAATTTTAATATTTTAATATTTTAATCGTTCAATTTATAATTTTGTTGTGTGTTATTGTGTTATATGTTATTTCGAAAATTATATAGTTATTTAATAAATTGAAAATATATATTTTGATATATGTATATTATATATGATATGGTTTATATATTTTAACGATTTTTTTCAAAGTACAGATATCTAAAATAAATGAAGGTCAAGATGTATCAAATATCTATCGTGGGTTAAAAGCAAATTACTAAAATATCCGGGATGAATAACGTGACAATATTCAAACCATAGGGGACTTCGTGTAATTCACTCTATCTGTTTCCTTCTTTTTCCTGCAACCCATCATTACTTTCTCGGCAACCAAACGGCACTTTTCCCAAAACACTTTGAAGAGAGAGAGCAAACAACGGCGAGTTTCTAATCTACGAAGTCCATTGCTCGAATCATCTTGGATTCAGAAGCTGAGATCAGTGACCGTTGAAGGTATGGCGGAGATCGGGAAGAAGACGGTGTTAGATTCCGGGTGGATCGCGGCGAGGTCGACGGAGGTCGGTTACTGCGGCGTTGAGCTCACCACCACGAATCCGCCGTCCATCGGAGCTGATTCCCCGTGGATGGAGGCCGTCGTCCCCGGAACGTAATGTTCAGGCGTTATTGCAATACTTGATTACTTAATTCATGAATTTGAAGTTCTTGCGAAATTGCTGTCTGTAAGGGTACATAAGTTGTCTAAGGTTGTCTAAATTAGCCACATTTTCCAAAAAATAGTCTTTAGTACATGTTAGGGGAAACTTTATGACAGATGAATGATTTTATCTTAGCTAGTTTGGAAATAGTATCAATACGGATTATAATTCTCCATTTGCAAGTTTGATTTTTTTGTGCTAATTGGGTTTTCTTCCTTTTGGATTGGATTGCTTTAGATCAATAAATTTTGTAAAATTTGGTGTCATTCTGTATATTTCTGTGGTTGTTGCGTTATGTGGACTTATCATATCCATTAGTTTATCAATCCTTGTCACATTAGGCACTACATAATTAGGTTTTTACAAGTTTTGTAAATCCATGTTACTTGAAACGAAAAATTCTACAAAATATGATGCGATTAGTACATCCTAGAAAGCTTGGGGTGTATGGGCTGTTGCCTTTGCTATGACTGTAATTTGGTGTTTTTTGTAATATTTTTGTTCTTTCATTTGATGATCATTTGAAATCCTAGATATAAACCATATGATAGGCAGATGAATGGTTTTTAACATTTTCCCAGAAATTCCGATTCTTGTTTCCTCTAGACAGTGTTTTGGCCACATTGGTGAAGAATAAAGCTATCCCGGATCCGTTTTATGGTCTCGAAAATGAAACCATCACAGATATAGCAGATTCTGGAAGGGATTATTACACATTCTGGTTTTTCACAAAATTCCAGTGTAAACGGGTGAGTAATCTCTCTGTTAGATAAGCTTTTAAGGCACTTTCTGTTGATTTTTTTGTCAATGTCACTGGATCAAATTATTTAAATCAATACTGGACTAATCTTGTGCATTTGCTTATGTATCGCTTCACTTCACTTAGTTTAACCCTGATGTTCTTCTTATCATCCTCTACCAAAATGCATGACAATTTTTTTCTTTCTTCTTATGCTCAAGAATACAGTTTGTTTAGCTCAATCTTGATTGATCATCTCCTTGCCTTTTTTTTATCTTCTCTAATTGTTTGACATCTTCACAGTTGGTAAATCAGTACGTGCATCTGAATTTCCGTGCTATCAACTACTCTGCTGAAGTATATGTAAATGGCCACAAAACAGTTCTTCCTAAGGGGATGTTTCGTAGACATACTCTTGATGTAACCGACATTCTGCATCCTGAAGGTAGCAACTTACTGGCTGTTACCGTTCATCCCCCGGACCACCCAGGCTCTATTCCCCCCAGTGGAGGGCAAGGTGGAGATCATGAGGTATACATCTTTCTGCAAGATAGCGCTGACATCCTTCTTCTTCTTCTTTCTTTCTCCCCATGTTATTGACTCTAGCTCAATAAGTGAACAAATCAAGCACGAATAAGATACTCAATATGAAAGTGGTTTGAGTTCATGACAGATTGGGAAAGATGTTGCTGCACAGTATGTGGAAGGCTGGGACTGGATATGTCCTATAAGGTCATCTTTCTGTCCGGTTTTGTTGGATGATTAAGGTTATCAGATACCTAAAGCGTTTTTGTAATGCCCATATTCTTTTGCAGGGACCGAAATACTGGCATATGGGACGAAGTGTCAATCTCTGTCACTGGGGTAAGTTTAATTTGCTCATGTGTTTTATATATTAGGTTTCTCCACTTAGTATATTTTGAAATGCTTACCATATTTAACTTTCAGTGACATTTTCAAAGGAACTGCGTGTTTTATACTGTGAAATTTTCTGAAGCATTTTAACTGGTTAATTCAACATTTTTGCTGCAGCCAGGGAAGATAATCGATCCCCATCTGGTTTCAACCTTCTTTGACGATTATGAGAGGGTTTACTTGCATGTGACTACTGAACTTGAAAACAAAAGCACCTGGGTTACTGAATGTTCATTGAATGTCCAAGTGACTGCTGAACTTGAAGGCGATATTTGCTTAGTAGAGCATCTTCAAACAGAGAAAGTCTCAGTCCCTGCTCAAGGACGTATCCAGCACACTTTCACCCCTGTGAGTGGTAGTAATATCGGGTGATAATAGATTGCCTTTCAAAAACTTATCTCCCACGACATAAATAATCTAAGATATACACATGCGTCCCCTTTAAATGTCTTAATTTATAAAGTAATTGGATAACGAATTTACAGCTCTATTTCTATAAACCTGAACTGTGGTGGCCAAATGGGATGGGAAAGCAAACTCTTTATAATGTCTCAATCACCATCGATGTGAAAGATATTGGGGAGTCTGACTCTTGGACCCAACCATTTGGATTCCGAAAGATTGAGAGTGATATTGATAGTGGCACTGGTGGAAGGTAAGCTTTAAATGTTCAGTCTCATATAAAAACTCGGGATATCCCTGTGGAGCCTCTGCATCGTTGCTTTACAACTTTCTAGGCTGTTCAAGGTCAATGGTGAGCCGATCTTCATCCGCGGTGGTAATTGGATACTATCTGATGGGCTTCTACGCCTGTCCAAAGAACGATACAGAACCGACATCAAGTTCCATGCTGACATGAACATGAATATGATCCGTTGCTGGGGTGGTGGGCTGGCTGAAAGGCCCGAGTTTTATCACTTCTGTGATATCTATGGCTTGTTGGTACACTCTGGAAGCCTTATCTGTTATTGTCTTTTCTGGACGATCCAGGTTCCATTTCTGACGTTTACCTGACTCTTCTTAGGTCTGGCAAGAATTCTGGATCACTGGAGACGTTGATGGACGAGGTGTACCGGTTTCAAACCCAAACGGTCCTCTGGACCATGACTTGTTCCTTCTTTGTGCCCGAGACACTGTGAAACTCCTTAGAAACCATCCAAGCCTTGCTCTCTGGGTTGGTGGAAATGAACAAGTGCCACCAAAGGATATAAACGCAGCTCTAGAGCATGATCTGAGACTTCACCCGCTTTTCAACACCCAAATGCTGGAGCATTCATCAGAATCAGATCAAGATCCTAGCCTTTATCTTGATGGCACAAGAGTTTATATAAAAGGATCTCTGTGGGATGGCTTTGCGGATGGAAAAGGAAACTTCACTGATGGCCCGTACGAAATTCAGTATCCTGAAAGTTTCTTCAGAGACGATTTCTATAAGTTTGGGTTCAATCCAGAGATCGGTTCGGTTGGAATGCCAGTTGCAAATACAATTAGAGCAACCATGCCTCGAGAAGGTTGGGAAATTCCTCTGTTCAAGAAGCATTCAGATGGATATGTAGAAGAAGTGCCAAATCGAATATGGGATTACCACAAATATATTCCCTACTCTAAACCTGGAAAAGTTCACGATCAGATTCTGATGTATGGCACACCAAACGATCTAGACGACTTCTGTTTGAAGGTACAATGTAGAATGCTTGACTTTGATTGTATTAGGTTTTGTTTTTCTTGCTTCTCAAGCCCATAAGTATTGAACTGTATGAGTTGTAAGTTCAGCCAAGTAAAATAATGGAGGACTTAAGTGGACTCTTCTTGTTCCAGGCTCAACTGGTGAATTACATTCAGTACAGAGCTCTATACGAGGGCTGGAGTTCGCGAATGTGGACAAAGTACACTGGTCTGTTGATTTGGAAGAATCAAAATCCATGGACGGGTCTCAGGGGTCAGTTCTACGATCATCTTCTTGACCAAACAGCCGGTTTCTACGGCTGCCGTTGCGCTGCAGAGCCTGTCCACGTCCAGTTGAACTTGGTGTCTTATTTTGTTGAGGTAAAGGGGTGCTCTAAACTCTTGATTTTATTTTATATATTCTCAGACGGAGAAGTTTGCATGACCTTTTGGTGATGTATTCAGTACGTGTATGTACAATGTATAATTCGAAGAAAATTCTCACTGTCTCATATACTTTGACAACACAGGTTGTAAATACGTCATCTAAAGAACTATCAGGATTGGCCATTGAGGCATCGGTATGGGACTTGGACGGAAACTGCCCATACAACAAAGTGTTTGAAAAATTCACTGTACCAGCAAAGAAAGTGGTGCAAATCTCGGAATTTAAGTATCCAAAATCAGAAAACCGGAAACCTGTCTACTTCCTTCTTCTCCAACTGTACAATGTCCCAGACAAAGTTATATCCCGGAACTTCTATTGGCTGTGCCTCTCTGGTGGAGATTACACGCTCTTGGAGCCGTACAAGAAGAAGCAGATACCTCTCAAGATCACTTCTAAGGCAGTCATCACCAAGGGTTCGAACTACGAGCTTGAGATTAATGTCCAGAACATGTCCCGCAAGTCCAGTTTCAGAACTTACCCTGACGGTAATTTTCTTGAAGATGAAATAAAACACAGACCTGGTTTGCTTCAAAGGTTCGTCAGTAGACATGTTTCCACTAAAGCCAACCATGGAGTGAATGTTGTGGAAGTGAGTGGATCAGATTCAGGAGTTGCTTTCTTCCTTCGTTTCTCTGTCATTGACTCTTTGAAACAAGAACAGAGCACAGAAGGACAAGACACAAGAATTCTGCCTGTCCATTACTCGGACAACTATTTCTCACTTGTTCCAGGTGAATCATTGTCTTTTAGTATCTCATTTGGAGCTCCTCCAGGTGCAAAGCCTCAGGTTATTCTTCACGGTTGGAATTATCCTGACGGATTTACTGTTTTTGATTCAAACAAGTAACACAATGTTTGTAAACTGTAACTATTGTGTTATTGTGTGCAAACTTGATGTAGAGGCCTTGATGCAATAAAGAAGGTTTCTTGTTTGAACCTTGAAATGTTGCCATGAATGAATCATGTCATCATGCAAAACCTGCTGAAGTGGTAAAAACAGAGAAATTTTCTTAGAATTTCCGAAAACAAAGAATTTTACCAAAAATGTATTCCACTTAAAATACATTTAGTTTTGCAGTTCACAAAACCAGAAATCTCTTTATTAGGAAATGAAAGGTACAAAATATGCACCAGACACTCGCATCAAACACATCTATACTTTCAACAAACATCTCAGAGACATTCTCCAAAGTTCATGTTTCTTCACGTCAAAACAAAAGGTACATATATATTATGTATATACTTAGTCAAGCAATCAAGAGATTGAAAACCGAAGGTTCAGACATCTCTCTCTGTTACTGGGATGTCTGGCCAGAGAACAAAGTGATCGTTCTTGAGGAGAGCGGTATGAACCTTGAGAGAAATGGCCAGAAACAATTGCATTCCATACAGATCATTTACCAGGAGATGCAAATCTTGACTTCTCTCTATGTCGGCTCAAGCTTCTTTCTCTTGGAGATGTTCCCATCCCTGCTTGCCGCATAATCTCTGGAAAACAAAATTGATTTTGTGAAGGTAGTATAAATAAAAGCATGATTTTGACACGGCTAGAATGTCCTAACACTTGCTAATGTGAAACGACATTAGCATCGATGCAGATGTGAATCCACGTTTTCACATCATGAGTAAGACTAATTCTGACTTTTCAGCGGTCCCTAGCAAAATCGTTACCTCAACTCACTGAAATTCCATGCTAGTCACTGCTACAGATTTACATGTAAATGCAATCAATAAAACCACATTATCACCTCTGCTAATTAAATAGTTGAAACATTCGCAAACACGGTGTTTATTTTTAGTTAAAGCAGCAATTCTGGGTTTAGTTGGTGTTTTTAGTTATAGATGGAAGTTTTCCCGGTCATTCACCAATAATCAAACAGATGACAATGCTCAATGTTCGTCAAGTTTCTGCCCAGATAAATCTAATGGTAGCAAATGCCAACAACGATGAAACAGGAGCTACTAATTATCACCAAAGGAAAATGTCTATGGTGATCTAGAATAGTGAATAAATCTAAAATCATGAGTAACACAGAAAGAATTCCAGTTTGTGATTGTGAATAACACAAAATGAAGTTACCTCGCCGCTTCCTTTCTAGTTCTTGGTCGAGTTCTTCTTTCCACTTTCTCTCAATCTCAGACAAAGCCACACTGCAAAACCAAAATCACACTATTCTAGCAGATGGAGAAATAAGGCACCATCATACAGTTCCCAGCCATTTCAGGTGTTTGAAACATTGGCCATGAAAATTCCTCAATTGTTTTGCCAGACAGATTTTGTGTCGGAAACTTAAACACAGACCATTTTTTCAACTGCACAGGGAATCATAGCTTAACACATCCACGTACAAGACTAACCTCTGGTTGCTTGATTCCTGTTGAGCATCAACAAGAAGACCTCTCCAGTCACTGACCCGAGCAGATGCAAGATCTTGTACAGCTTCATCGCTAGCATTGAGCATATTAGACACATCAGGGCTACCACCACTTCCGGGGCTCTTAGAACGACCGGCAGTGTCAACTGCTCTAGAAGGTGAGCCACCAATAGGACCCCGACTCGGCGACCTGCTTTTTGGAGGCAGCTTCAAGAAACTACGAGGAGTCTCTTCTCGTTTATTGCTGTTGCTACTACTCTCCATGCAACTGGGAGAGCATGTGATCAAACTGTTGTAGTATTCTTCATATAGAGGTGTCTGTAACTTCTTTAGCTCTGAAGCCTAAGATTAAGATGGCCATTATTACATCAGCGACTCAAATACAAATTTATGTAGACATGTTGAAGAAACTGATTAACACAGTGAAGGTATGAAGCACCTTCTCATCTAAGAAAGCTTTAATTTTTGACTCAGTGAGCTCATCCTCCTCTTCTGAGTATGATGGTCGGTCAACTTCCATGCTGAGATTAGTCTCTCTTTCTCCATTTACAGGACTTTCATCAAATTCGTACTTCAAAACATCGGATATTTCATTCAGGGCATCACAGCTCTGTCCAGAAATAATTAATTAGTATTTCAGACTAAATTTTTATTAAAGAAGAGTTATGAAACCCGAGTCAATCATTAGATGTCTAGATAAGTAGTACATTCACAAATATATTTTTACCTTCTTGGTATCGTTATTCTTCTCAAGGGCACAGCTAGACTGAGTAGACTCTGCATCAAATGTTAAGAAATTCTCATTATCCATCAAACACATGTCGTCGCCATCATCATCATTACCATTCTTTCGCCACATATTGTCACTTTGGATCGACTTCTCTGGGCACACAAGCGAACAATTCAGACTGCCCAAGTTACATATATCTCCCGCATCATCACAGGCAGACATCGTACTGAAAGATAAGGAACCCATCATAAACAGTCAGATCATTTTCAGAATTGGAAATTCATATGAAATTTCAGCTGGAGTTCTGGGCCTGGGAACTTACGAGTTGTTTATGTCAGTTAAGCGAGAGGGTGAAATACTAGAATTGTCCTGGAAAACAACAAGAACAGAAAATTCCTCGTAACAGGGTTATCAAGAATAACGACTAAGGTGGTAACCAAGAACATTACTAATGTGCACCCACCATGATAGAAGCAAGAACAGCAGAAGCAGATTCCCTTTGTTTGCCCGTAACAAAAGGGTGCTGAGGAGAAAAAGACAATTGTGAAGATTACAACTCAAAAGAAGCTGACATTATATCATGGTGTTTCAGAAAAACTTTGTCACCTTCAGCAGCTCAGATGCAGTTGGCCGCAGATTTGGTTCCCTGCCAACAAGGGCAAAATGTTTCAGATATCACAAAGACAAGATACAAGAGTAGTGATATACGTTACTTTTCGTCTCTGAACTGAACATAGAGGAAAACAAAGTTTCTAGATTAAAAGTGTATACTCCTGTAAACATTTGAGAAGAAAGTCTTTCACATCAGCAGAGAGATTCTCTGGTATTGGTGGATGCGCTTTAGTTGTCCCAATGTAAAAGATAGCAGCAACCTGAGGGATTAATTAACGTGAAATTTAAGGAGGAAATTCCTACTAAAAGAGGACAATAACACATAAAATAAATTAATAAAGTACCTCCTTATACTGCTGGCTCCAAGGAGCCTTTCCTGTCACCATCTCAATAACTGTACATCCAACACTCCATATATCTGCTGAGCTGTGAAATAAAAGTCATAGCTTATTAACAAATCAGATCATGGGGCATAAAGTTTATATTTGTGACAAGTTTGAAGGGATATTTACAAGCTATGCCCAGTTTGACGAATAACTTCTGGAGCCATCCAATATGGAGTTCCTTTCATAGACTTTGCACCCGAAATGGTAGCCTAGAGCAAGTCATGTCAATCAGTCTAAAAGCATAACAGAGTCTATGTTATAAGATCAACTTGCGTGATGGATGAAACCTCGGAACATAATGATGCTGCAACACAAGTTGTTTTTTACTCTGAAAATTGACTTACCAACTCAACGACCTGTTTGGATGCACCGAAATCCGCAAGTTTAATACATCCTTTGTTATCTACAAGGATATTAGCCCCCTGAGGATAGAAAAACATGGAATATCATGGGCCAAGAAGGCAGGAAATTATAATACTTCCACAGATCAATAGTGTCAAAGATACTTACCTTAATATCCCGGTGCATTATCCCATGATTGTGAAGGTACTCCAATCCCAAAAGTAGTTGTTCCGTGTACGTCCGTACAACCTAAATCCATTAATTTCAATATTTCAACACCATAAATAATCCAAGATCCCTAAGGGTTCAGCAAGGACATACTGATTCCGGAAAAGGGCCGAATTTCTCCAAGAGCGAGGAGATAGATCCACCTGGAACAAACTCAAGCAGAATGTTCAAGGTTTCATCTTCCCTCACTGTGCCCAAATATCTCTAATACAACGGAGAAAATGACTCACGTTAGGAAAAAAGAGTGATATCCTTGTACCCATCTGGGTAAGCTAGAAAAAACATAAACCAAAGAAAACATCATCGTCCTTATTACTTACGACAATGTTAGGATGGGAGAGATTCTTGAGAAGCTTCACTTCCTCCTCTAGCTCCTGAATATGAGTCTGCTAGCACCAAGAAAGAAGCTTGATGAGTAACCAAATCCGTTTGATGCAGTCCATGAAGAGGCAAAATCAGCTAAATACAACAGGGACAAAAAAAACATTTAAGCACAACATAAACATGTAGTGTTGTGTTGTATGTTTACCTGAGTTTTTCCCCTGGTAGCACAATTGGCTGCAATCAGAACCTGAGTAATAATAAGCTCACAATTAGACCCCGCCCAATCTTCAGAGATGCCACTAAACATAAATGCAGAGAACCAGGCCTAGAAGTTTTTTCAAGAGCTGATGAAAATGAACAAATTGTGAATTTGAGATGTACAATGAAACAGACATGTGCTTAGCTGCACAAACATGCTACAGGAACCTGTTCAGCAAGAACTAAGTGCCGAATCCGATGACTATCGAAAACCCCTAGAGCTCGTTTGTATGTAATTTTATTTTACACGAGACATCAAATCGAGCTTTCAGAAGCAGAAAACGCCAAATTCGAAACCTACCAGATAAGGTTAGATCTAAAGGGACTATAAGTTTAGTTTGTTCATAGAAAATGAAACCGGATTCTGTTGATTAACCAGAGAGAAAAGCTTCCAAGTTCACTGAGGATTTAGAACAGACCGACTAACAAATCACAAAGTAATAAAGACCAAGCAGATCCGAACAACCAAACAGAATATCCGTAATTCAAAATTCCCCGAAAAACAAAATTAAATCTCTCAACAAAGTTGACTTTAGAAAATGAGATTTTCAAACTAAACCCCTAATCAGCTTCGAAATACATAACCCGACAGAAACGAACGAATATACTAGTTAACCTGTTTGACGGCGAGAAGCTCCCCGGAGTCGAGATTCATCCCCATGTACACTGTACCAAACGCGCCGCGACCGATTAACTGACCTTTCCTCCAGCGGATCGGAGGCGCCATATCGGCGGCAGATGACGGAGGAGCCTCCGCCGCCGGAGGAGGAAGATGAGGAGGTGAAGGGGAAAGGGAGTTGGGTTTTATGAGAACCCTCGATTTGCGGATGCAAGAAGTGATCTTGTCGGCGAGAGCACCGGAGAAAGGAGGGTGATTCTCCTGGTTGTCATCATCGGAGGTCGTGCGGAATACCAGAGAGCGGCGAACGGATCCAAGGAACTCCTGCATTTGAACGAATTCGAGGAGGACGACGAGGGAGAAAAATGGGTTTCACTGTGATCTTTGTTTCATTTGGTCGGCCGAAAGTGGAAACGAGAGAGGGAGAGAGGAGGGAAAAAGGGGTGAAGATTCTATTTTCAAAAATAATATTATTTTTTTTTATAAATATTTTAAATTTTCGATGTGGAGAGAGAGAAGAGACGAAGAAGCAACGGGCGATAATAAATTAATAATCCCAAATATTGACAACTTCTTTTTATAATGGTATTCTCGTAAATATGGAAATTCATGAAATTGTTTACATCCCAAATATTTAAAGGTGAGGCAAAAAAAAAGTATCACATACATTCTTCTTTTAAGAAGGCAAAACCCATTTTAAACTTAACAATGAAAAATGAAAACGAAAAAAAAAACATCTAACTTAGCTCTATGTAATAATATGATCACATGTGCCACGTGAAACAAAACCATATTTTTTTATATGGATCAGTTTTTTTTTTCAATTTATAATCACTAATATAATTAACCACGAAAGATCATATACTGTCATTATTTTCTTTCTTGCTCTCAAAATCATATTTCCTTTTAGTATCTAAATCAAATAATATCTAATAAAATCTAACATAAAAATAACCTAAAACGATTAAATATAATTTTTTGCAAAGATCTAACGGAAATCGAAATTATTTTGTCACAACAGAAAAAAAAATGAATTGAAACAAACTCTACAAAATAGAAAGAACTAACTAAACAATCCAAAATTAAATCTGATTATGTAAAAAAAACACAAATAGATATATTTTATCTAAAACTAAAACCTAAGACCATAATTGACCACCATAACACGCGTCAAATGATATGTTTAGTATGTCATGAAGCAAAAATATTTCACACTTATTGATTACTTAATTAGTTAATTACATTTTATTTCAAAGGGTTCATCTCTTGAGAGTAGTATCAACTCTCTATGTACTCTTGTTACAATATACAACAATTGTCCAATGCTCAAAAATTTACATATCTACTATTGTTCTTTTTTTCGTATATCTTTATTTTTAAGTTTGAAAGTTTATCGGGTCTTTATCTATATCTCCTAGAAAATCGAAAAAATCTATGCGAATAGGTCTTTCCAAATGAGGATTCCAACCCAAATTAGAAAAGAAGTTTATTTCTTATCGGGTGAACCACCCTCTTGATTCTTTTTCGTATAATTTGGTGTAATGATAATAATAAATGTTAAAAGGAAAGAAAAAGAAAACTAGAAAGGGAAAGGAGAGGAAAGGGTCAGAGATTTACAAAGTTGAAGTGTGAAGACTATGTTATGTACAAATATATGCTTAGAGTTGGGTTTGGTAGAAAAAGTTAGGCTTAGAATTCCAAAAGGACAAAAGGAGATTACTCCATCTTTGCGTAGAGATTGACCTAACCATATACCATACCACTAATTACTTGATTGTTTCGTTTTTATAAGTCTCAATCCCTTTTTACTTCTGTGGTAAGTTCTTGATAATGCTACCCTTTGAATCTAGAGATTTTTTAAATTGAAAAAAATGTTTTTTTTTATTTGAAAATCGGATCCTTGTGGAATCCGAAACGGAGAAAATCTATATACATCTCTATTTGGTCATGTCCTTTACCGACCGAGTATGATCCATGTTGTATTTTCTAATTTTTTGTCTTGTTATTGAGTCAGTGAATATGATTAGAAAAATCTATTAAAATTGAGGTATTATTATAAACTAAACCGACCATTTGATGAGAAATTTCTTCCCCCACTTTTGACTTGTTGTTTTTTCAAACTAAGCACGCACACACATATGTGCCCATACATATACACACACACGCGAGAAAAGGGTCTTTGTTGTGCTTAGACAACTTCGAACATTCTCTGCGCCATTACTCCTCTTGGTTTTCAATCTCTATCTATCTCTCTCTCAAATCAAAGCCAAAGGAATGTTGATGTCAATAGACAACACGCTTACAAAAGCCGTCATTCTGATTCTTATATTCACTTCATCGTTCCTCCTCCACGGAGTCTCCGAAAACAGAAGCCTGAGGGATGGTCTGAAGGCCGAAGAGGATGCCTCGAACCCTCCAGTCTATCCGGAGAGTTCGACGTCTGAAACAGTGAAACCACCCGTAGGGTTCTTCGCTACGGTCTACAGAGAAGTTCCATTTAGTTCTAACCCTCTTCATAACAAGTAAGATTAAACTGTGTGTGTCAGCAGATTTCTTTTTTCTTTTTTACTGATGAAAATATGAAAGACAGAGATGGTGTGTTCTTCATATATATATATATATATATATATACTTGTCAACCCAAGGTTGAGAAGTTGATGTTTGTAGATCAATCACATGAATATTGTGTGTCGAGCAATGTCTCCTATATTTTTTTAACATGTTCCTTTTATAGTACATAAATAGATGAACTTGTCTTTAATAAATGTTTATGCATCAACATTAAATTTTATAGATTTTAAAATATTTTTTTTTAAATTGTAAGAATATTGGTTTTTGTATATTGTAAGACTCATTTGTAAAGAACAAATTTATAAATTTCCGGCAATAAAATTTTAAAAATTTTGTCCATCTATAAGTTTCTTGCAATAAAAATATCAACTTTTAAGTTTCTTGTAGCTCTTTTGCACTTTCTATAAAAAAAATGATGTTTCCGAATTATATCAACCAATAATACAAATATATATATAAGATTACAAATGGTAATTTAGCAATGTAAAAAACACGGAAATCTAGAAAGAATTTCATTTATTCGCTCTTTTATTCAAATACATAAACCTATCTTTCCTTTGTAAATAAATATATATGGGTATATCCCTTCTTCAAAGGAGGCACCAACCCATTTGTTATGAGTGCACAAAACCAAAATAACCCCAAGAGAACAGATCATCCTTTCTAAGTTCCAAAGGGTAAATGAAGAGTCGATACGATGCACACCCAGAACAGATATATATACCGACTCATAAATACGTGAATCTTTCGAACTACGGAGGGTGGTTTGATCATCACCAGACGTACCAGTGTAAGTCCGCCATTGCTCTGTTGATGAATCCGCGTCTTTCTAATGCGAGATTGGAACATTCTTTGAGGAAGATTGGTTACCAAGAAGAGCGTGAGGGAGGTCGGGAGGATTGGTGCTGATCAGATTTGCCCAGAGATTCGCAATGGGCAGGAAGTATTGCTGGCCGCTCCATTCAACCGTCTTCATTCC